ATTTTTACTGCTCCTCTCTGAAGGCATTAATCTCCCACGATCAATGAGAGATTTTTGATGACCATTGTCTAACCTCTCATAGCATGGTCGTAGACTTTAGGACTGTGGATAAAGCACAATCTGTGGAGTCATCTTGCTGTCAGGTGCTCCTACCCTGCAGAGAGCTGCAAAAAGATACTTGCTGAATCACCCTGCCTTGATTTAAACGCCCAGCCTAGCATACAAGAGAGCTTGGAGAACCAAAACTGAGAAGGGATTATGGCAGAGCTGCTGAACAGATGTGCTAGACGCTGAAGAGAAAGCTTAGGCTGAGATCTGTAACTGGCATTAAAATGTCTGTGTCTTCTGCCCTGGGGTGGGTATTAATGGAAACTGCCCTCACTTAGTGAGATGCCAGACATTCACGACCTAATTCGAGAGATAAGACTTAGTTTGTCAATGACTTTTTCTGGAGGGGGAGGAAGAACTTTGATCATTGCCAAGTGGAGTCTCGGTACTAAATAGCTAACGTGCTTCTTAATTAAGTCTTTCTGTCTCAAGAGACATGTTAAGTATGATGCATGTGGTACAGCGTCCTGTATAGAAATTGCCCTGTGAGATCACAGAGAGGAGTAAAACTTCTGTATTTGTGTGGTAGAAATTGTGTAATTAAAGAGGAAGCTAAAGTTGGTCCGACAGAAAAAGAAGCTGAAGGTATGTACTGTATAGGGCAGATTTGCTTATTTGCACATTTAATACGCACCAGTGGTTTCCTGGAACAGCGGACAGCAAATACAAACATTAGGATAAAGAGGTCAGAGAGTATCATAAATGTAGCTCGGCACTCATTAGTTTAAAGTCTTTGAAAAGATTGGTGGTAACAAGACCAGACTAAACAATTTACAGATTTTCCCACCAGTGGCTGCACAAACTGAGTGACAGAGGAACTTGTCCTCTTTAGTGGAGCAGTATTCACCTTTGATGTTAATATGAATATTCACATTAGAAAGGCTGAAAGGCAGACTTTGAGCAAAAGGCAGAAACAAAATTTGCTGCTGCCAAGTTTGGCCTTCAGCCAAGGCTGCAGTTAAAAACAGAAGCACCGCACTTTTACCTTGCCTTGCCCTCTCTGAATAAATTCTTTGATAGTTGGGAAATAAAAAGCTCCGTATTGTACAGACCAACATGAGCTCTGTGTTCCAGAAAATTAAAATATTTTAAAATTCTGAGATTTTGCTGTGGGGATTTTCATTTTCATAGTGCTTAGAAAATCACATTCCAGACTGGCTTCCCTGAGTGTGTGTATGCACACATGCACATTAAAAAAAAAAACAACCAAAACCAACTTAAACCACTGTAGAGTCTGTCTTCTCTCTTTTCCTCCCTGAGGGAGACAGGTGACCAACACACTGAGTGCAGACCATTGCTGTTGCATTCTCTTCTCCTGGTTGCCAGGTCACTCTCACTAAGCAAGTGCAGTGGAATTCACTGAAGTGCCACCTTGATGGATTGCCAGGGAAGAGGTATTGTGCTGTTCGTTTCAGTGATCCCACTGAATTGGCACACCGTCACCGAAAAAAACAGTATGCGTCCAAGCCTGGCAGCAGCATTCTTGGTTTGCTCGGGAATTTTCCGTCACCAGGACTTTATGCATACTGTTATTTTTTTGCTAAATTGTAGCTGCAGAGAGGATAAAAGTAACTGATCTGTAGTAGCTCTGGAGCTTGTTTTTTCTCACAAATTCTAGGAGAGTTAAGTATTTTTCTGACTCTTTGCCAAGGTAATTGGTTTTATTATCCTGCTGCTTTTGGAAAAAAAAGGAACTCAAAATATGGGCAAAACTCTGATTTTATTTGCAGAGAATGAATTAACTTCCTCTTTGTGTATCAAGGTAAAATATTTTAGCAGCTTCTTTACAGGAGGAGTTGCCAATTTGTGTGCTTTTTTTTTTTTTTTAATCAGAAAATACTTAGGCCTGTCAACAAACTGAGATGCTTCATGAAGCAGACATTTTCCTTGCTGACAATGCTGACTTCCAAGAACACCTAAAACAGAGAGGAAGGGAAAACTGTGACTGGAAGACCAGTTCAAGTATGGGAGGAAAAGTTCAAGTATAGGAAGGTTTTGAGGGCTTTATTGCTGGGGGATTCGGTGACGAGCTTGCTTGAAGAAGGTGACTCGAAAAGGCATGAACTAGATAGCAAAGCACTATAAAAAGCAGGGGAGAGTAAGTAGCTGTGTGGAAGAACAATGATTACCCAAGACACAAGGTGAGGCTGAAGAGGAGACGATTTCAAAGGCTCTGATCCTTATGATGTCTATGAAAAGAGTCCCATTGATTTTAGGAGACTTTTAATTGTGTTCAAAGAGAATTCAAAGACAGGAATGCTGTTATGCTGTAGCAGAAGAGAAAGATTATTTCAGCAGCACTGATGTTTCAGATAAGGATTCTTTCAAATCATCGTAGTTTAAACAATCAAATCGACAGTCAGACAAAACCTAGAAATGGCAAGCACGAGCTAAATAATTTTGGAGGTAGAATAAGACCTTAATAGGGTGGTAAATAGAGCAGAAACTCTATCTGACAAGACTAACTATGAATTTTTTAAAAATACTGAGAGAGGAAGCAGTGTGTGCATGTGGCAAGCATATAGAAAGACTGGAAGATAACCTGTGGAGAATGCTCCTAAGACCTATGCAAGGAGACTTGTCCCAGAAACAAATAAAGCATTTGGGAAGGGAAGAAGGCATTTTGTTTAAAATTCTTCTATGCTGATGTATTAAGTAAACCATGGAATTGAATGGGGTCCTTCTAAAAAACTTGACGAGAAAAAACTGTCTGTGTGGGAAAGCCAGGATGTTATCATGGACATGTCATAAAGAAACTAGAATCCAGGACAGCAGTGGATTAACAGCATCTTCTCCATAGTTATATACTAACTAGCTTTAAGCAAGTGCTAACTCAGATCACCAAAAAATAATTCCTGTAAGCAAATTACTGCCACTATTTGACATTCAGTAGCAACTTCAGAAGCAGTTCACGTTCAGGACAGTGAAGTCTATGCTGTGGTTAGAAATGATTCAGGTCTAGGATTCCTAGTAAAGTTTGCAGAACTAGCCCTGGAATCTGTCTAGGACTGCAGGGAGTTTGGAATTGGAGAACCTTATCTGGCTGAGAACCAGCATTTTGTGACTGCAGCCTAGGCGCATCCCGTCCCTTCATGGATATCCTGAGTGCACGTGTCTTGGAGGAGCATGGTGGGAAGAAAACCAGCTGATAATGTTGAAAAGGGTTAGAATCTAAAATGGTGTAAAACTGCAACTGATCCTCTTCTGTTCACAGACCAACGGATGGAGAAGTTGCTCTCATGGCTGTGGCTGGCCATTTGAAGTACCGCTGTGCAGTTTAAACATGCATTTCTACAATTAATAAGAAATTAGCAAAATAATAAAATACTGAATGCAAAATGAATTAAATTAGTAATAGCAAGTGAAAGGAAAAGCTCTGTAAACCACATTTCAAAAAGATGGTTGTGCAATAAAGATAAGCTCTATACTCTTCCCACTATACAAAGGTCACGTACAACTTGTACTTTACAACAGATTTTATTTTCTGCATACAAGATGCGTGTGCTTTACTGACCTTAACATTATGTATGTTTTCAAAGGCAAATACAGACAAACTAGAAAAAAAAACTACTAGACCTTTCTGTTACTCCAAATGTGTTCGTTCCTCAGAAGGAAGAATATAAATATAAAAATATAAAGATAAAACAAAGATGTTTTAAATCTTAATTAAAGAAAGGAACGTAGCCTAATGGTTATAGCATGAACCTACGAGTTGAGAGAACAGAGGTGTCACAGTGTGACCTTCTGCAAGTCACCTTGAGGCTTAAGAATACTGGATGAATATAGTTCTGCATATCGGACACTTAGCTGTTATATGCAGTTGGGAAGCAGGTGAGATATTTTTTAGGATCTCATGAACTTTACTTCATTTAGTAGCTACTGCCAGTGAAATGCATTATTAGGCATTACAGAGAATTGTACTTGCAGACATAATGTAACCACACTACATCAGAAAGATTAAACAACTCAGGGTTAAACTGTCATGTTAAAAACACCAGTCTTGACTAATGAGCAAGGTATAGCTTTATTGCCTAATTGCAAACCAATCCACAAACTGTATCTCAGTTAGAAACCCTCTGTTCATTCCCGTGGGCTCTGAGCAGGTAATTAGGTACTGAGTACTTTGGGTAATCGGGTACTTTGGTGGCACTCCTGTTTCCTTGGAGGGACGGCTCCAAGAATGCACCACCCTTGCCCTTGGCCCTTCATGTCTTTCCCACCTGTTTGTTCAATGCAGGTGCATTCGCCTTGTACTTACCCACTTGATTGCACCTGCAGGTTAAGCAAAGATGACGGAGGACCTGTTCCCTTTTGCAACAAAGGGTCTGATAGCTTCTACTGTGCAAAGTCTGCTGGGTATACTTATGAGAGTTCTTAATAACAGCAGCTAGAGTAAGTATGATAGTGGAATTACCCAGTTTTTCCTGCTTATGTAAAGATACTAAAGTCATCTGGAAAATACTGTTCGTACTGTGGGACAAATTAACTCAGCTCCCATTTAGTAGTCAATTTTGCTGACTCTGACATATACCAGAATGCAAGCTACAGTGGGTTTTAGATAGAGATCAGTATGCAGGACAAATTAACCAAACTCGGGACAGCTACAATAAACAAGAATCCTTATGTGGATTTGCTGACTAAGCAGCACCTTCCCAAATAGAACTGGCAACCATTCATGCTGCTACTGTTGTTGCGAAGAAACTTCTTACGGGTTGGTGCTTTTATAAGAATGGATTTTTATTGGCTTTCCAGATGACATTATTAATCCACGTAAACAGGATTTTTACTTTGCACATAATAGAAAGTGTAAACAGAAATTAGAGCATCAGTATGTGCTCATTTCTTCAATGGTGACCTAGCACTCGCCTTCTAAAAAACAAAGTCCTGTTTTTTCAATTTGCACTTCCATTCTGTAGATACTCGTTGTGTAGCTTTTCTTGGGCTTCATAAAGTTTCTTTAGCTTCTTAATTTGTCCTTTGCTGAGTTCTTTGCCTTCTGCATCATGGGTGGGAAATCCCTGAAATATTAAAAAAAAAAAAAAAAGACAGACAATACTTAAGATAAATTCTTGGACTGCTTTTGCTTCTTACAGAATAGTGTTTTAATAAGATAGGGAGATAATTTCATAAAGACAAGCTGTTAGAATGGGGTGCGCCTTGGCTAATTTTAGTCACCTAGAAGTTCGACAGCTAACTGACTATCTGTGTGTGTTCCCTTCCTAGTTAACGAAGGGGCAAAGGGTGTATTTATTTTCTGTCCTGTATTAAGTAAGGGAAGCGTAGACAACTAACTTCTAGATGGTTATAGTTAAGACAATAATGACTAATCCCTAAACAGATGGTTAAGAGACCACTTTTAATCATACTAGCCTATTGAATCCAAGGCTTAAAGCAAAAGCAGTAAAAGATTTGTGTTCTTGATGGAAAAGTACAATCAGAATTTTTATGAACATTCCCCTTGGCTTGCAGGGGTATTTTGCAGTATTTACACTCTCCATTCTTCCTTGCCCCCAGGGCCTGAATTTTCGTGGGTGAAGAGGACAGGCAGAAGGACCAATGTCCTGGATTAAGTGCTGAAAAAACAGTGCTGTATGTTTTCCAAGTAACACCTTTTATCTTCAAGAGGAGCAATCAAGCACAAAGTTATCCATACAGCCCCTTCAGATATCCTTTGCCAGGAGAGAGTAAAACAGTGGGCAGAACCAAAAAGGAAGCACAAGACCCTTCTGAAAAAAAATGGCTGTCTCCATCAGTTCTGGCAGAGTTGGGGAGTTTGTACTTGCAAGTGAATTCCTTGTCTTGCAACAGGGTAATGAATCAGTGAACATGCATCATACATATTCCTACCCACAACACCTACAGGGAGTTTTGCTCTGCAATGAGAAGGGCCAAAGGAGACCAACGTACAATGAAAATAACCTTGAAATGATGGCTAACAGTTAGAGAGTCTTGCTCCCCTAGGCAAAGCATGTGCAGTAAAATTAATGTATTGCCTTTTCTTTCTCTCCTCCCCTCCTCCCCCTACGTTAATAGTGCAGCCCTGGAGGTTTTGGAACAAGATCAGCTACATACACATTCAACCGAGTATGCACAACTAGGGATGGAAAACCAGTCCCTATCTAAAGAAAAGTCTCTCACCTTTTCATCAAACATGGAATATTTGTCATGTTCTAATTTAAACATTTCATGTGGTGGAATCTTCATTTTTGCCTGTTTTGCTGCCTGTAATATAAAACGTGCATTAACTGCATTAGCATCACAGTTAATTACTGACAACTTGTCACATATGCAAAAGGACAAGTAGACTATAATTTGCAAATCAAAGAGCATTTAATCCATAATTTCTTATCATGTGAAAAGAAACTTTGAGTGAGGAACAACTCAGTAATTCTTAGCTGTGCTCGTCCAGGAGAAAAAAAATATGGTTCTAATCTGTAGAGAACCACTTAATAAAACAGATGTATTGCAGAAACTCAAAATTTTTAACTAGCTTAAATACTCCAAAAACTAAATCAGATTTTTACTAATTTGGTTCCTTGGTGTTTTAGGTGTAAACACAAAGTGAATAGTTGCTATGAGTAAAGAATATTCAGCAATTAACTCACTGCAAAGGGAACCACCTTTATCAACAGTTTC